GGTGGGACTTTCCAGGAAGTCCAGGAGGAAGAGAAGGCCAGGCAGGGGCAGTGGCCAGTGGAGAGGTTCTGGGATGGAGGGCAGTGGCACAAAGTACCATGAAACCATAGCCTCAAAGCATACTATCCCCACAAGAGTCAAGCTGAGCCAGGGGGTGGGTGGGTTAGGATAGCGAGGCCAGGGTGTGGCCCTCCCTGGTGGCCACACCACAGGACCCACGCCCCTCCAAGTCAGGATTTGGGTTCCCTCGGGATATTCCCTGGCACAGACAAGGGGGAGTTGTCTGGGAGCCTGGCCACCAGCCACTCTGGTGTCCCTGTGTCCTTAGTTGTTTCTCTTTGCTGAACCCTATTTCCTCATCTGTGAAGTGGAGGCCCCGCCATAGTCTTAAATAACACCCAAAGTGGGAGTTAGTTGTGCCCAGAGCATCCAGGTCTGTGCGTGGGGGAATCATGGGTCCCAAGAGCGTTGCCTCACTGGGCTAGAGACAGCACATCCGGTCACAGGAGCCAGCGCGGGACGGAATGGGGAGAAAGAAGGAGCCCCATTTCCAGTTTGGGCTGGCGTGGTCATGGGAGAAGTCAGACGGAATGATGCCAGAGCTCCGTTGTTCTTTTTTCTTTTCATTTTTTGAGTCAGAGTCTCACTCTGTCACCCAGGCTGTAGTGCAGTGGCACGATCACAGCTCACCCTAGCCTCAACCTTCTGGACTCAGGTGATCCTGCTTCAGCCTCCTGGATAGCTGGGACTACAGGTGCACACCACCATGCCAGGCTAATTTTTAGGGTTTTTTGAGAGAGAAGGTCTCTCCAAGTTGCCCAGGCTGGTCTTGAACCCTTAAACTCAAGTGATCCGCCTTGGCATCCCAAAGTGCTGGGATTACAGGAGAGAGCCACTGCACTTGGTCCATTTTTTTTTTCTAATAAAGAAGCTTGGAAGACCGACTTACAAAATGTAACATTCAAATTATTAGACTTATTTTTAAAAGTACCTCCATGAGAATCATATAAAACACATATTGTCATAGTCAGTTCAGGCTGCTATAAGAGCATACCACAGACTGGGTGACTTAAAGAACAGACATTTATTTACTCCAGTTCTGAAGGCTGGAAGTCGAAATCAAGGTGCCAGCATGTTCGGCGTCTGGGGAGAGATTGCTTCCTGGCTGGCAGACGGCTACCTTCTGTTGTGTGCTTGCACGGTAGAGAGAAAAATTACGTGTCTCTTGAGTCTCCTCCCATAAGGACACTCATCCACTCGAGGAGGGTGTCACCCACCACCTCCCAACGGCCCCGCTTCCTGATACCACCATGCTAGAGATCAGGCTTCCACGTGTGAATTGGGGGCAGGGGGCACACAGAGATTCTGTCAGTGGAAACTGCACTGGCTGGCTTTATTCCTATGGCTCTCAAAGCATGGCCTCAGACCAGGGCCAGCATCACTGGGAAACTCCTCAGAAAAGCGCATTCTCAGGCTCCAGCCCAGTCACTAAGGTGAATTCGACACTAAGGTGGATTCGCCAGCCTGGACTTGAACATGTCCCTGCCATTTCCCGTGGGGTCCCTGGCATTTGACTTTGTGACTCCCGCCAACTCCCAAAAGGATAGGTCAGGATAGGCAAAACAAACAGCCCCATGTCTCAGCGGCTTCTGACAATCACAAGCCTGTTTCTTGTGTATGCCCCATGCCGGCGTGGACTGCTGGGGGCTCTGTGAGACTCATTTCCATGGCCGGGCAAGGGAAGCTTGTCAAGTTGTGTACTACTTTTAATTTTTATTTTCGAGTTGGGAGTCTCCCTCTGTCGCCCAGGCTGGGGTGTAGTGACATGATCGTGGGGACCGCACCCTCGACCTCCTGGACTCAGGCGATCCTCCCGCCTCAACCTTCCAAGTACCTGGAACTACAGGCATGTGCCATTTTGCCCGGCTAATTTATTTTTATATAGAGCGAGGCCTCACTATGTTGCCCAGGCTGGTCTCGAACTCCTGGGCACAAGTGATCCTCCTGCCTTGGCCTCCCAAAGTACTGGGATGATGGGCGTGAGCCACCGCACCCAGCCCACATGTCTGCAAGGCAGGAAGCCTCCGCCCAGAGGAGCAAGGCACGTGGCCATGCCTCACTCTCAGGAAAGTGCAGTCTTTCTGCACCGAGCGTCTTCCTGGGAGGAAAACGGGGCAATTACCACGATTTTCATCCCACGGTGCCCCAACACGCCAGGTCTCAGAAACCAAGCCAGCCTCGACGGTCCATCCGGCCTGAGGTTCCCAGTTGTTCTGTGGCCTCAAGGATGGGCTCCCTGCATTTTCCCCGCAAGCCCCGCCCAGCCCACTCATCTGACTCACCTGGCTCACCTGCGGGTTCCCCGACACCGAGGCTGGCCGGGCGCTCCTCCGTCTCAGCCCGTGATGAAGCCACCGAGGCG